CAAGTTTTGCTCAATCTTTTCATTTATTATTGCCCACCTAAGAAGCTCCATTAGATATTTTCTTCAAATTGCCCCCCATAAAACTTTAATGCCACACATACACTATATATCTGTTTATATAATCTGCCCTTTAGAAAGATATAAACCACTATGATATCTTAAGATTTTTCAACTACAAGAACCAATTTTTGCCCTCTTAAGAACAATATCAGCCCCATGGACAATGCATGTCTTAATGCTGACTACTTTTTCATCATATTCCTTATTACTACCAGACATTTGTGTCTGTTTATTGGGTGTTACACCCTCTAAAATGTAAGCATCAGTGGGCAGGGACTTTTTGTTCACCACTATGTCCCTAGCATATTGAATATTACCTGGCACATATTAGTTGCTCAGTAAATGTCTGTTGTATATGAACAAATGTAGTTTTGGAATATTGTTAACATGCATAAACCAAAAACTACTTATAGCTTTTCATTTTTTTGTATAGTATACTGCATTTTTGTTAACTTACATAATATAGTAACTTTAGGAAATTGTGAAAAGGAAAAGTAAAAACAGATAAAATAAATTCAGGGGTGAGACTGATACTTAAAAGCAAAAGCCATACTGATTTGATTAACTGTACAAGATAGGTCCCAAATTTGACTCTGAGCATTCTAGTGACTGTAACAAAGTAGAAAACATGATCATTTACAAGGATCTATCATGTGTATATTAAGCCTTTATTCTTTTCAAATCCAATGGTCTATTTTTCAAAATTTTTATTTTTAAAAAGGAATGCACAATTTAAGAAAAAAGCTAACTGTTTCACCTACCAAACTGACCAAGTTTTTGGTTTGCTTGTTTTTAATTAAAATACCAACCACTGGCCTGAAGATGTAAAAGAATGGGCATTCTCATATAGTCTCAATGAGAGAGTAATTTTATTATGTAGACCTTATTTTTTCTTTCTTTTGTTTTTTGGCTGTATCTCCTTTCTAAATATTCACTAGTGACCATGTATATCTTTTGCAATAAGAAAATATTTTATTTTTAAAGCCAGTAGCATCACAATTATTTAAACTTTTCTGCAAGTTTCAGTCAATATACAATTAAAAAAAAAAAAAAAAAACTCGTTGCCGTCAATTCCAACTCATAGTGACCCTATAGGGCAGAGTAGAACTGCCCCATAGGGTTTCCAAGGAGCGGCTGGTGGATTCGAACTGTTGACTTTTTGGTTAGCAGCTGATATACAAAATACTATAATAAAGTATTTGCTACATATGTGTAAAGAGTAAAAATCTATAAGACTTTATATAACAACAACAGAAATATAAAGGGCTTGGGATAAAATAAAACAGTGTTCAAAGAGCATCAGAGTTTTGTTTTCTTTTTATCAAGTTTGTAAGCTGATTTTAAAATGTATATGCAAAATGAAAAGGCCTAGACTAGTTAAGACTCTTCTGATGGACCAGGATAGAGACTTACCTATTAGATATCAAGAGCAATTGGCCTAGACTAGTCAAGACTCTTCTGATGGGCCAGGA